CATGGATAGATATTAGATACATAGATAGATACATGAATGATTTATTCAGGTGTGTTACAGACTAGCAGACAAAACACTCTAATCGAGCCAATTTTGTATCGAAGATTTCTACTTAACAAATTGTACATTCCTTAAAGGGTCGGGACGAAGTGAAGCAGTCGCTCTGGAGTAAAAACACTCATAATCAATAAGCTAGCAGATACGGGTTAATATTTGACTATAGGGACGAGGATATTCCCTCTATGACAAAAACAAACAAGATTAACATTCGATATAAAAAATAATTATTTAATCGTACCAGTCTCCATCTTCGCTACTTAGTATTAGAGACTTTACGCATTTGTTTGTCGTACAATAAATATTGTATCACTTTGCCAAAAAAAGCGACAGCAAGCATCTGTGAGGTGAAGTAATTTGTATAAAGTTGAAACTTGTTTTGCTCTTTGCAAACAAAACGTCGTAGGTACAAAATCTCAGTCACCGACCTTCTGTTGAATGCAGAATCTTCAATTCATTAGTAAACTGTTTTAATTACTCATCGGACGGCTTCAGCGCGGTAATCTTAAACGACGTTATTAAAAAATGTAAATTAACTTATTCATTCAATTCCATGGACTCTGTCTGATTACATCTGTTCCTCCGCACACAAACACTGTTTCCGTAGTCCGGGTATAATGACAAATGGTATTTAGCCTGGCAGACAGCAACCGATCTAGTAATTACTCGGTTAACACCCACAACGTTTCTAATCGCGACCGCCCTGAAGCGATTTTTTTAAAAATATTTTTGTGTTGTTTATATCATTTGTTTATACCATTGACAATGATCGTCGATCAATCGTGGAAAAAAGTTTAAAAGAGTCGTTTAAAAAGTTGCAGAACACAAGCTTACTCTTTCAGTTTTGTCTTTTTCTATCAGTTTATCCATAATATACTACGTCTACCAGGTACGATTACAGAGAAGAAAGAAGATATGGTAAGATAGTCAAACGTCGATGTTTTTCATCCGTCCGATTGGCATTCACGACGATAACGAAAGCAGTGGTGACAGTAAAAGATAACTTATTCATTAGAGTTATGAGAGGAAGAAGTGGAGAACGTCTTCAGACACGATTCGTATAATACAATCAACGTTGACTAATGATACTATTTAATCGTTTTGCTAGGTAAAAGGTTCTATTCATCATTTAGCTGGTCAGTCAATCAGGTAAAAAGACGCTATTTGACAAAATGGCTACTGGGCGTCTTTTCATCCGTCACAGATAGCTCGACAGAGAAAAACACCAGTCCGCTATGATTTTACCAAAAGGTATACCACGGTACAGACGGTGAGCTGTGCATAGACACCTGTTACCTCGGCTATCGTTTTGCCACTGCACAGGGCACGCCGGTCTCGTTAGGAGGCAGGGCAAACGGGTGATATACTGCTGCCCATGAGCAGCAAAGGGCTCTGACAAGATAAAAAGGGATGTAAACAATAGCGGCGAGGGAGGCGAGAGATTTGAGCAGAGACGATTTTTTTTGTTCGTTTCGGAAAGAAATATTTACTCATATAGACGAAGCAAACATACACACAAGGACGAAACGAAGCTGAATGCTGAACAATACGATACGTAAACACAAGTCGACACGGCAACCATGTCGGCAACTATAGGCACAAACACACACACACACACACGTCGATATATGGCCCGGTTTAATTACGCGTCATGTGATTTAATAACAATCGTCATAATTTTTTTGTGACGATAATATTGTTTGGTGCTGGGTGTAGGCCAGACCAAATCTAGTCGCCGCTCTGTTACTATGAGCGGTGACTACGATATGATTGTTACCATTCAAGCGAAATAGTTGTAATGATGATGTTAATTAGCATGAACCTAACGCTGAAATTATAGTGGACTTTGAAGAAAATTACCTTTTGCGATTAGTGTTTTAGCCTATTTATTGAACTTTTATGACCAATAAAATTTATAAAATATAGTGTATGTATAGATAAGCAAGCGAAGTAATTCCAAATGAGACGAGTGAATTATTTCGGCCCTGACGGCGCAGCCCTATTTTCGGCTTGGGCACATTATTTAATAACAGGCACTCGGTTGATTATTCTATGAGACAAAAGAAATTAAGGAATATAATGGTCAAATCCTACAGGAATGGCTATACACTGCAGCTCTATCGAACTGTAGCTATGGGCATGACGACGACTGGGGGTCATCAATGGAAGGTCTTCAGCGGCTATTCATTCCTCTTCCTCAACTGAACAACGACAACAGTCTATGTGTCTTCGACTATTATCTTTAAATAGCCTGCCTTCATCGTACCATTCAACAATCGAACCCATCGCTTTATTGTGCTCGCCGGAACTGTGAGGGTTGTCATAATTTAGTCGACGAGCATGAAAAGGGTCGACTTTCCTTTCTGACGATGTCGATTGTTGTTCCCTTGGAACTGTCGCTAAGAAACGGAATCAATCTTTGGCCAGTGAATGACCAGCCAGAGAATCTGCCTTTCAACTTCTGCATCTTCTAAGGCTAGCAACGTGTCGTTCGCTGTCGTGCGATACCGCGTACTCGCGTTTTACCATCGTCCCCGCCGTATCCAGAGGGGGCTGTCTCGATTTGTTATTAGCGATTCTGTGAGGCCGACGCCGGTCGTAACGTTGCCTAGCGAATCGCACAGACGTCGCCGGACAGCGTGAACGCTTTCCATCTACGGTGCGGCCATATAGTTGTTGTTGTTGTTGTTGTTGTTGTCGTTGTTATTTCTGTCATTGCGGTTGCTACAAAAGACGTAACGTGAACACCACTTTCCGAAGCGAGTATAGGCCGGCCATCGAAAAACGTCCAGCCTCACCTCATATAAGTCCAGCTTGCACTACGATCCAACGTTTCAGTTCAAAACACGTCTCGTGCTGTATTTGGCATATTTCTTTAATGTTATGTCGCCATTATTGGCCCGGTTGTACACAGTCAACCCGGTGTCTCGACTTAGCGTCTGCCGACGGCGAGCAACTACTTCGCTGTCTGAAAAAGTCGATGGCCTTTTTAAACCGCTCGGTGTTATTTCGTTGAAGTTCGTGACGAAATGACTTGAGACAGGAAAAAAGAAAACAAAAAAAGCGAAATAATGATGATGGTCATGACGACGAGTATCAGATGTGGCTGACCGGTACAATTACCTCGGTCGAGCGTTTCTTCTATTAGAGTTTCAACAAGGCGTCAACATTCCTATCCAACAAAATCAGCAGAGAAGCGCAGGAAAGCGCGTCTATTCTAGTTGTTTATGAGAACTCGTCCAGACGACCTGATATTGACCTATCATATGTACAATATAAGACAACCGGCGTTGCAGATTGCAGCGCCGTCCATAAACGAGTTGATGACACTACGTGTGAACCGCGTAAACTTCTTTTGTTACGTGTTAAAACTCGCGCCTAATTACATCTCGGACTTTTTGCAATTTCTTCTAATTGCAGTTATCTTTATTAGTAAAGTAGTGCACAAACAAATTTTCGTCTGCTTTTACATGCTGTGTAATAAGGCAGAAATCGCTAATTACGCCCGTTCCTCCTCGCCTTATTCGTGTGGAAAAAAACAGACCATCTCCGCTTTCTACGGTATTAACGAAGGAAAGTAAAATACAAGAGCTTCACTTAAACAATTCCACATTGAGTAGACAAATGAGATAGCAATGAATACTTGCTACGCGTATCGATGCGTGCGCTAATCAACCTATGATTCGCTAGCCCGTGAAAACTTGGGCTTTCCATTGCCGGTTTTATTTTCAACAGTACCAGCAAAGGTTTGAATTCTCAAAAAGCTTTTGTTCGCTTCGAGAATTCGAGCACAGAGAATAGCCTGCAGGACGCTGGCCTTACTGTTAGCTCTTACGGCGAAACTTGGCCGTACGGGCTAATTTCGAAAGTCCTTCGAATGCGCTAGACAGGAAGGCCGAGAGGATCAGGTAACGTTCCATTAGAGTAGAGAGGGAACCAATCTACTACTTCTTGCCCCAACCCTTTCCATTTTGCCGGACGTTCAGATTAGAAGGGTAAACGAATGTGATAGCCGAGACTGCCCTGTTCCTGCATCATGAAACGAACCTATTTCTTTCTCCTCCTGTTTTCGTTACCCCCTATCCCTTCCCTCCCCTCCCTCTTTCTTGTTGACTGTTTTTTATTGTGGGTCGCTGTTGTTGTTGTCGTCGTGGCCGCCGGTCACCGCAAAACAGACGCAGGCTAGAATAGAAACAGTTGACGGCTTCGTCCATTTTTCGCCATTCGTTTTGTCCGTGTGTCACAGCATTTGGAGATGTTTGCTGCCAGTGACCTTATTTTGTCCAATTCATACCGCCGCTTCTAGTCGTTATTTCGTGCTTGCGTTTCGCCAACCCGTTACAGTTCGAAACTTTGCTGATTGCGCACGATCACTTCGTCTTCGCTTGTGTCCTTTCTATCGCTCCCCCTGCCTTCAGGCCAGTCAAAGTGGTACAAAAACAAGCGGCCTGCTAGTCCCCTATGGACCAATCCGGTAGTTATTGTGGCCGCTGTTGTTGCTGTTCGTATGTTGTCCGTGCATCGGGCAGCGGCGTCTATCTGAGCGATGAAAACACTGTTTTTTTTTTGTGATGCCGTGCCCAGTATAAGACCCAGTCAATAGTAGCTAGGTAACTGCACGCACAAGGTCCCGTCCGTCGTATGGATTCTAGCAGTTGCGGTCGTGAGCGCTTTTTGCCACCATCGACTGCTAGCCGACGTCGATGTCAGTGTATCGGCGATGATACTCGATCGTAGCCGATAGCGATGCTGTCACTGCTGCTGCTGCTGCTTCTGATTGTTGTTTTTGCTGTTTCTGTTGCTGCTGCTGTTATCGTCATCGGAGCCGCCTGTACCACGACCGTCGCTGCCTTCTATATTCTGTACTCCTGCTTGGGTCTGGCGCTGACTGATTTCGCTTCATTTGTCGTAGTCAATCGCTGACTCTTTCTGTTCGTTTCTCGATGTCCGTCTGCCTGTATGTTTATCTGTCTGCTAGCTTCCATCTTCCTTGAACAACTCCTACGACCGCTACTCTTCTTGCCGCTGGCGACTGTTGCCGCACACTCTCGGTCCGTTTGATGGGGCTCAGAGTTACTCTGTCCAGTTTCGAGTCGGTTCCTCATGTGCTGCTCTTTCGCTGTTCTACCGCCAACGGCCACTGCAGATGCTGGAGCTATCATTTCTATTTTGCCGCTGCCACTGTTGTTGTTGTTGTTGTTGTGCTAGTCACCGAAGAGAGGCGCTATTCGTTCGTCGGGTCCGATGCGATGTCGGTCTGTTGCAGCAGCAGCAGCAGCAGCAGCAGCAACAGCAGGAGAGACGGCACAGGCAGCAAGCGGTGGTCTGCTCCGTCGCAGCAGCAGCAGTGGCCGCCACCGTCGTAGCCGCTTGGCCTGGTTCGGTCTCTCTGGGCTGTAAAACTTTACGAGCGTTCCTCTCATTCCCTCCAATAGCATCAGCAAGAGGCAGCAGCAGCAGCAGCTCAGCAGCCCCCGTCCCTGAGCCGCTATTCTCCCTTCCTGTTCAGAACAGCATCATCGCCATCAGCAGCTCCGCCACTAAGGCCAAGAGCAGCAGCGGCAGCATTAACAACAACGACACGGGCAGCGAGCAGCTCTGCTGTAGATTCGCGGCTGTAGCGCACAGCGCAGAAAGAGAAAGCAAGTGAGATTAGCTTCGTTCGACCAAATGAGCCGTCGCAGGAGAACGAACTTGAGCCGTACTGCAGGACGGCAGACCGAGATGAACAGGAAGGGCCGACCAAGGCAAACACGGAAGATCCAGGGCAATAGTCCTATTTTCATCACCAATAGGCGGACGCACAGCAACAGCACAAGTGCTACTCACTGGCATTGCGCGGCTGATCGAAGCCTCTGGTGGAGACAGTAACGGTGAAGTAACATGGCGTCTGTTGGTGAGCACCCCGTGGCACAGCTCAGGAGTAAGCGGCTGAACAGTCGGACGACATTCGGCCGGTTAACACGCTATGCGCGAACCATGACGATGCAGGTCGTGCTGGCGGAAGTAAACACGGGCCCAAGTTGTCTGTCGGCCTACAGTAAGCAATGATTGCTGGCTAACGAGTGATCACGCAGACGGACCATCACGTACTCCTGCCAGTAATTGTACTGCTGCTCTTATATGTCCCATGCTTGTAACTGATACCTATAGAGCCAAAGCTTTGCCCCTCATAAGTCTAGCTAGCCACGCCTGCGTCTGCTACCCCAGGACGCTTAACACTCGCATGATCCTCAGAGGACACATCGAAACAAATCGAATCAAGCTCCTGCCATGTTTCTTCTTTGGCACGATCACCGCTCGATTCCATATATATATATATTCCGAGTCTCAATGTAAAAAAGTACCATCGGTCTTCGGGGACCGCCAGTTGAGACAAACGGAAAACCTGACCTGCACTCACCGACGGCGAAGAGAAAATCGATAACAAAGGGCAATCCGAAAGATAGTGTGTTACCTTCACGGTAACAGTAATAGGATGAACTGGAGATAACATCATAATGAAAACAGTGACTTGAGCTTTATTGTACTCCAGTACTGTATATTGTATTATACATAAAGTATACATAGGTGGTGGGAGCAGCTTCAGAGGCAAACTTGAGGCAATGAACGACTATCCATGTTAGTTACTTACAATCTATATTTTGTTAGCGAACTTAGTTTGGAGGTAAATCTGCTGATTTAATCGCAATACGCTTAATTTGACTACTTCAACTAACAGATCCATAGAGGAGCTACTTGGCAAAGCTAACTTTCTAAAATAAAAGAAACAACAAATAGACATCGAACAGAATGTTCAATAAGGAAGGGTCTGAACAAGTCACCAAAACAAACAGCAAAAAGACAGGACAAAGCAAAAAGGAACGAAGAACAAGGAAAAAAAAAGGAGAATCTGATTTGTCTGCGCCCCAACAGAGTTCCGCCAGCAGCGGCATAATGGTCGTACCCTCCAGCGGGCCTCTGTTTATGTACGTTTGAAGCGGCGTACAGATATACACACACACCGACAAGCTAAAGCAGACCTGTACGAACGCATCGAGAAACAACGAACATTGGATGACGGCTACCTATAGTGAACAACAGGAGGGGTCCTTCGGCCGCTCTACTAAAGCTGGTAGGCGTTCAACGATGTTAATAAATCAGCGAGAAACGCAAGTGATCTGTACAGGGCGGTGCAGAGGGTCAGCTTGCGGGAGTGGGGGTAGGTCACTGTGGTCTCTAAAAACCATGTTATCGCCACATCTATCTTCACGTCGATATGTGTCTTTGACACACGAGTGCACCCGGGGGCAGCTCGAGAGGACATCCATCCATCCATGTTGTAGTTTTTCATACAAATGACTCGTTCCGCTATGGTTGGTAATGATAATGGCACATCTGACTTGAAAAGGGCATGTGTCATCGCGAACGCGTTCTGCTTATACTTCATTTCCCCGATGCATAAGATTGTTTGAAGTAAGACGCTGGTCCAGCTGAAATCTTATGCCTGCAACGGTCATCTGAAATAACACATAACAAAAACAGGTGTATTTACAGTACATATTGTTATTTTAAGTGGTTGCCTACCTTTTTGTTTTTCGTATCAAGCGCTTGTAAATAATTAGCATAATAATTTAGCACCAGATACGAGCAAGTTATTTAAAAGGTGCGTGGATAATTCACTGTATATAACGATGAATGGGCGTTGTAAAGGGGCTGTCGTCCGTCTAAAAAGTTGAAAATGCCGAACTTTCATTTTCTATATCGCAGTGAAGTCAAAGTGAAGCGTTTGCGCGTACCTTTGATAATTGTCTAAATTTGTTGTTGCTATGAAATGTATATTTGTTATAGAATAGAGCGAAATCGATATGACCAAAAAGCTCTAACTATGACAACGGTGGCCTATGATGAATGAGATTAATCATCTGTTGATATGGAGTAATTAGTAGTATTTTAGACATGTTACTGTGATCTGGCGCTGTTAATCGGCACAACTGATGTTTATCATTGCTTTTTGTTGTCCACAGTTACTGATACTTCGGGGTTTTTACGATCCGGGTTGGACTCACAAACAATATGTATGAAGAACTTTATGACCTGATGATAAATTGTAACATAGAGTGACGGCAGGGTGCACGAATACCATAAACGATTACTCGAAAAATGGCCGACAGGAAGTGCTACCTCAAGTCAAAGACGATACGAAAACGTGACTGACAAATGATTAGCTTAATTAAAAAGCTCTTATATGGGACACGCTTGAATGTTGTTGGGATGAACGAGGCGTGGCTTGGAACAGTCCTTAACGTAATACTTACGTTGGAGTAATCGATAGTAAACATTCTAAATGGCCATGAAGCATTATTACTTCCGAAGAGTGTCTCAGATCACTGAGCGTACTCTTGAATGGTACCAGGTATGTTTGTTTTATGCTGTGATTGATGATCCATGAATCATCGACCTCGTCTATGTCGACAAAATGAATTAAGGGAGCGTGACTCGTAACAGCATTAGAAGATGTCGACATATACAAACAGATGCGGGGACGAGTTGCGTTTATCGTTAATAAACACAAAGCCTGAAGACTATGTGGTTGGAGCTGAAATTTTTCATTACCAGTGTACCCACAACGGGCAGCATGGCCTGTGATACTGCGGGAATCAATTTTAAATATATTATGAGCAGAGAGTGTAATGATATTTAGGATGGTTAAACGTAATTGTGCGGTAAGTTGATATTACGAGCTCAAAAGCCTCCGAGTCTTAGAAGGGTATCGAACTCGTAAGTTGGCCGCCTGTGCGATCACCACTGGAACTGTTATCGACTCTGTGCATTCTAGTATTAAGAAAATGTACTTAGTAGTTTGTTTTTTGTACTATATATGGGAAGTTAGCATTCTTGCCCCAGTGTACAGAATCCTATAATTAGCTATTTGGCCTACTGTGCATTCATTATCACGTGGGCGTATCGTTCAGCAGGCAAAACTCCAATTCAATATCCAACAGTGTTATACTAAGACTATAATAATTACTGCAACAAAGTATCGATGCGATTTTACGATCACGTCACAGATCGTTTGACAGGTAAAATATTAATGGGTTAAACGTTTTAGGTCGAGGTCAAACGGTCTGTTGATATTAGAACGGCAGTGAGGCGGTTCGCTTACCATGCTTCCACTATTATGCCTCTGACGAAGCCCTATCCACAAACGTAAATGTCCTCCGTATGTACAAAGTAGGAGAAGTTCTTCTCGTATTAACCTTGCGTGTACCCGTACTTGTAAGCGGTAGAAGTCCTCTGGCAATATCACAAGTGTTCATCACAATGCAATACTGCAGACCTGTTTGATTCTGATTGTCGAATGAAAAAAGAATCAAAGCTTATCGCAGATAGTTTTTCCATTACTCAGCCCAAGTATAAGTGTTTTTATTTTCTCACATATATTGTGCAGCATTTAAGTATCGTCGGTGAGACTTCAGGCAGCGACATGTGATCTCTTTCCATTAAAAGCTTTGCGGCTCAATAGTCATTTAATAATATTGGACCATACCTGAAGATTTTTTGGAGATAGCCCATTTGACAAGAGGAGGGATGAGCTGGCGCCCTAGTATTTGAATGAAAGGCGCCGCATGCTTATAATATTGTGTACCTAACCAGGCCCAAGTATGAACCAATGCTATATGCATCGCTAATAAAAAGGATTATAGGCTGATCCCGTTACGTATGTATACATTGAAAATACAAACACAAACTACTCTCATAAGCATTCGTTTACGTCGGCAATTCCCATACGGTTGAACATTATCAATTACTGATAAGTCCGTACGATATAGTGCGTTTCGAGGAAGACATTTTATTCGTTATAATAATGTATGTGCAGCCATACCTCATACTAGCTATAGTTATTTAATGTTCAACAGACCTTTACAACAGACGTTTGGAGAATGGAGATTTGAAGTCAAGATAGCGAAAACTAGGGGGAACTCACGTTAGAAAGTAGCACGCCCGTCCCTTCCCTCCCGCCTAGACGCGATGATTTCCTTTAAATATAAAGCATTTCTTTAAACCTACCGTCTCCTTAATAAATTCGTGCATTTGCTTTTTAATGTTGGTTCGTTGATGTTTTGAGGTGGCGTACACGAAATATTCTCTGCGACTGCTGCTAACAGATGAGGTGTTTTAAGTCACGCGTCCTACTATTCGGAAGGTGACTAAGTTCGTGTTGACGGAGGGCCGGCGGCCGCATCAACAATAGCGGCCTTGTAGCAAGTAGTCTTTAAGGAGCGGACACGGTTTCGCGAGGAGTCCCGCGTGTGGGCCGTCAACGCCACGTTACTCAGGTCAATAAACGGCCTTCGGGTGCCCTTCTATAAAATGATCGTAACCATAAAATAAGATGTAACAGATTGACTCACCCATGTAGCCTTTCGATGTTTGTTCGTCCACACACACACACACAGTCAATTCTGCTCCTGTTCTCGGCATGACCATGAATCGGTAGAAGGGAAGCCCTCTATAATAATAACAACAACATCTGTACCACAACAACAATAACAACGTCATCAAGAACGCAATAACTGCGCGGGTATTGATGCGGGGCTGATGCGGTTGTAGGCAGACGCCATCCAGCGAGTTGGCCAAAACAGTGGTTACGAACAGCTACAAAGACAA